GAAAAGTTGCCAATATTTTCATCTGGTTGAATGGATAAATGCCAGAAGAACTGCATGTATCTTATGTGAACTTTATGTGTGTATGCGTGTGTGTCACACTCTGAATTCTGGTATTATCAGTTGGTCAAAAAGATAGTTTTCTATGTATGGGGTATTTCTTAATAATGCCTGTTGTAGAGTTAAACTACTTCCTACTGATATTTAGACTTGCATAGAACGGGTTGACTGAATAGGATTGCTGAATGTCCATGGGGAACTTCTTACAGGCATGGTTGGCATTCCTTTTAAAATGTATTTGTCCTGTGGAATACAAAGATGCTTTGGGTGGTAGATATGATTGCTGTTATGTATTCTTTCTCACAGTGGAAATCCACCACAAATTCCTGGTTTCTGAGGGAGATAAAAGCAACAAAACTGCCAGGGAGATAACTACATTCTAGAAGTAGACTGCAGCTCTATAGAAATCTCACCAGAGTTTGAGTACACTCAGTGACATTGTTGAAGAAATAATGAATTACTTGCTACCAACATTAAACCCATGAGGTGTCACCCAGCAGAATTTTTCAACTGGTTTGAGGCTTTGGGTGACTTGTAGCACTGTGTTATATATTTGATCTAAAGATAAAATGGCTCATAACTGCATTGACTTTGGCACGGTAACTACACTTTTAGCAAGGAATGTGTCCAGAGCATCACCCTGGATTTTGGAAAAGTTTCAGTTGTAAATGCCTAAGGATGCTGATGAGTTCAGAATAGTGCAAGTACCCAAAGCCTGCTTAATGCATGCCTTGCAATATGTAACATTAAACATCTATTGAAGGAGCTGGCTGAGCAGCTGTGCTCATCTCTCTATTAGTGACTTTCAGGGTCTTCTGGAGTCATCCAACCATTATTGTCCCAATATAACAGTAATGAGACAGACTTTACAGTCATTTCAACAATGGTTGACTGATGTTATGAAGTTGCTGTTAATTAACTGGTGGGGAAGTGGCCTGTTTTGAGGAGGTGCTAAATGCCTTACTAATTGGAGTATGCAGTTGGTCTGTCCAACTTGCAGCCTGTAGGTTGTTGGGAATACATCTTTCTGATACTCTAATATTTGCAAATTCATCATACAGGTATTTTAAGAACTATTCTGGTTTAGGTTTTTCATGCTAAAAAATGGGTCCTAAATACATGAAGAACCACATGTTTTCATTACAATCTGACTATGCCCTAAGATCATCTCTGGAAGACTTTATCTAGGTGCCTGATAATCTGAAATGAGTTATTCAGGACTCAACAAAAGACATAATAAAAATAGGGCTGTTTTTCCGTTAATAAAAAAGGATTTTCACTTTGCCTCTATATGAACATATTTTTCTGGCCTCATACTTTGATGATGTAGTTTTATACTTTTTTTTAATCTACAGCATGTTGTTGCTTAATTGCCCTTAAAATATTTATTCCAGAGCAGTACAAACATTCATAAAAAATGAAATAAATATTGGCTTTGTGATTTGTCTCATTATATGTTTGTGTGTGTGTGTTTGTGAGTGTAATATAAATAAATAAATATATATATATATATAGAAAGTACACTTTTCTCTGAAGTGGAATATGTTACCAACATTATTGGTCCCACAATTTAATTGACATCAAGAGATATAACGAGATTTTTGAAAACTGGCTAGGTGGCTGAGCAGGTTGCTGTAAGTGAAAGAATCATATGTTAGTCATGTAAGAACTCTAGTTATCAGGTTTTGTTGACAGAGAGTGTTGTGCAACTTCTCCTATTTCTAAATAAACATTGTTTGCTTATTTGTTTTATGTGAAGACCAGTAGATGCTCTGTTTTATATCTCTGACTATAGTGGGAGCTGTGGATAGGCAAACAAATCCGTCTCTGAAATAAAAGTGACTTTGATGTGATATACAAACTGCTAGGACATGATAGCAACTTTAAACGTCTATCTTAGTAATCCCTCTGCTTTCAATTAGTGGTCATTTAGCGCACATGCAGTTTGTGTTCAAAGAGCATATTAATTTCAGTGTAAGATGAGAGCCTAGAAAAAATGATAAGCTGCTTTAGCAATAAAAATGTTTATTATAAATCATTCTGGGAATGAATATGAATGTGAATATTTAACTGTATTGGTACAGCAAGGGAATAATCATACTAAAGCTGTGTACTATAGAATTAGAATCAGAGGACCCTCCATGATTACAGTAAACACAATCATTATTAACACTATATCCTAAACCAGCAATAAAGAACATTTCTAAATTGAAGATTATCCATAAGGTTGGGGAAAGTAATTGGTAAACTGCTGAATCTATTCTTGCTTGGAAGTGAATAAAGGTTACAGCGTAGAAACAAAACATGCAAGTGGAATTCTTTTTCTTTTTTTCCCCCCGGAAAGAAACAAAGATAGAAGTAATTAATGACCCTGACTCTGTGCCAAAAAAGCTTTCTTCTGACAACTCTAACTTAATTAAAACTTAAGACATTTCAGTGGCCT